GAGCCCCGCGTAGCGTCCTTGCTCCTAGTAGCGATGCCAGGAGCCCCTAGTAGCTTCTTGCTCCGAGTCGTAGCGATGCCAGGAGCCCCGCGTAGCGTCCTTGCTCGTAGTAGCGATGCCAGGAGCCCCTAGTAGCTTCTTGTTCCTAGTATCGATGCCAGGAGCCCCTAGTAGCTTCTTGTTCCTAGTAGCGATGCCAGGGGCCCCTAGTAGCTTCTTGTTCCTAGTATCGATGCCAGGAGCCCCTAGTAGCTTCTTGTTCCTAGTAGCGATGCCAGGAGCCCTGCGTAGCGTCCTTGCTCCTAGTACTTCATGTGACATCGATTCGTGTCAAATGTCTTTCTTTGGTTCTTTCTTCACTCCACGGTCCTGAGGATTTCAATCTTGTTGAGCGAAGCAGGCAGCTCCTGGCAGAAACCTTCTACACTTCCACCTGTTTGCAGCTCGACTCCCCGTCCTTCTCCGCAGGCGCTCCTCCAACATATAAAAGACCTTGAAACCAGAATAGAAAACACCAACCTGGCTGCATAGACAAACAAAGGCCCTGACACCAGCGAGTGTTGCCAGGACCAAAATGCAATTCCAAACCTGAGCATGCCAGCACGGGGCCTTGCGTCACAACATGCACATAGCCCAGGGCAATGGAGATAGGTCTCTTCACAAAGTTCAGAAAGACGGGCACGGTCACCTGAACGACGAGTGCTCTTGCAACTGTGTGCTATGCTCTATCGCGCGATTGCTGCCTCTGGGCCTGGCTCTCCCTGGAAGAGAGTAAAGCAAACCACACCTGGAAGAGAAAAGCAAAGAAACGCAACCTGATGGCGATGGCCTCCAACCTAAGAGCGATGGCCTCCAACTGCCTGTAAAAGGCATAAGGTCATCGCTTTTCAAATCTGTCGAACAAGTCTGTCTAGTTCTATCCAAGTCTAATGTGCGGGTATCAGAGGCATACCGCTCATTCTCCAACGGAAAGACATTCTGGGCAGTTCAAGAGTAGGGTGCGGATCCAGTTGGAACGAGACTTGGCTGCATGGTTCAGAACTTCAACCAGGACCCCGGACCCTTTCAAATGCATTTGGAACCAACTCGCAACTACCGGCAACTCCTCACAATCTTCACATGAAGTAAAAACATCCTATTCACCGAACTGTTCGCCAAGAGGAAACCTTCCAGTCTTTTTGCAAAGCCGGGAGGGTAGGCCGCTAAGAGGGGGTAGTAACTAGGTACCTACTAGACGCAATAACTAGGCCGCTTACGCACTATTCTTTGGGGGAAACTTAAGTAGTAAGAGCATGTTCGCTACTAGGGGCTCCTGGCCTTACTACTAGGAGCAAAGGACGCTACTAGGAGCAACTGGTCCATCTCCCGAGTCTCCCGAGGCCTGAGAGGGTGACCAGTGTGCCAAGAGCATCGCTGGTCGTTAAAGGTCGCAAGTGGAAGACCTGAAACGGAGCGATGACGAAGGGAATTGTTATGTTTGTAGTAGCGTCCTTGTTCCCTTCGTAGCGATGCCAGGAGCCCTTGTAGCGTCCTTGTTCCTAGTAGGTTTTAGACTAGGTTGGCCTGAAGACCCCTGCGGCTCTTGATGTGGTTTCTATAACGAGCCTTGCAAGGTTCGGCTTCGAGCTACTAGTAGCGATGCCCTTGTTACTAGTAGCGATTGCCTCCACCCTAGTAGCGACGGCCTCCATGGCCTCCAACCTAATAACTAGATTCTTAGGAAAACTGAATCGTCCTGTCTCTAATAGCTTCTTGTTACTACTAGTAAGGCACTTGTTACTAGAAGCGATGCACTTGTTACTAGTAGCTTCTTGTTTCTTGTCGAGCCTGGCTGAAAAAGGCATTTGCAGGTAGAGTGGCTCCAGCACGAACGACGACCACCAGGGCAACCTCAAGCTTTGGGGTCACGAACGGCGTTCGTGAACAGCTTGCGTCACCAACAAGGTCGGGGTCTCGACGGGGCCAAAGGCAAGTCCGACCAGTGACAGCACACCAAAGATTGTGGATCCTCAAAGAATTGAGCGCTACTAGAAGCAAGGACGCTACTAGGGGCTCCTGGCATCGCTACTAGGAGCAAGGACGCCACAGAAACAGTCTCAAGTCAGCCTGGCCCACCGGCCTATTGCTCCCAGAACACATCGAATCCGGCTGCGATCTGTGTGTTTGCCACCATTCAGCTGCCTGGTCACAATAAGAGTTGCAACCGGAACCAAGAAGCATGTTGGACGAGCAATGTTTATTGTTTTTTGGACACTCCACTTCAGTCTAAACAAAAGCGCCCCCACCTCTGCTTATCGGCTGAGGACAAAAGGCAGCCAAAGAATCCCACCCCCACCCCCGCCAAAGCGGAAGCAACAACACCTTGCCACAGGCTCTACACAACTAAAAAATACAAGCGGAACCATCAACAGTAGGTTGGAGGCCATCGCTACTAGGGTGGAGGTCATCGCTACTAAGGTGGAGGCCATCGCTCTTAGGTTGGAGGCCATCGCTCTTAGGTTGGAGGCCATCGCTCTTAGGTTGGAGGCCATCGCTTCCAGAACCAACAAGCAAAACTCCGAAAATCGGCAAAAGTGTGCATCCAAAGGGCAAATGATGACATCTTTGTAGGTTGCCAAGATTGTCACGGGCGAATCTGCCGCCATGACATTCCGACATAGTAAGCTTGCAAAATAGCAACATGTTGCGAGTTTCGTTGGAGATGGTACAACAGTAAACAAAACGCAATGTGTGTAGCCTCTCAATGCCCATCGTACCTGAACTCTGAAGCATTGAACCACCATGCCTTTTGGACATATGAAAGAATGAGATGCAACTCACCTTAAGGCTACGTCACTACCCTTCGCCTTTGCATACTGTCAAATTCAATTGGGTGTCACATGGTGCAGTTATGTAGCACAGCTCTGGTAGTGGTTTGCCATGCTGCTCGGTCTATATGCACAAGTGCCGCAAGGTTCATGTGGCAAGAAAATAGAACTAGAAATAAACTACATCAGGGACTGTTTCAAGAAACACAAACTGGGCAAAGCATACAAATCTATTGGAATAAATAACCTTATTACCTCCATAATGCACCAGAAGTAAGAAATCAAAATCCACAAACAGACGTCCCTTTCCCTGTCCCTTTCCCTTTCCCTTTCCCTTTCCTTTCCTTTCCGTTCCTTTCCTTTCCTTTCCCTGCTTTCTTGTTTGGAACACCCGAATTGAAGATGATCAGGATTGGTCTGCATTTACGAAAAGCATCTTGAACCCACTTGACCTTGTGGACGTCCTTTTTTGCACACTGACGCGGCGCGCTGCGGACAATGCACTCCTTTTGCTTCTCCAATCACATCTGCTGAAATTTCCGCGCAAAGACGTCAAACGTGCAAAATACGCCCGCTTAAATACGTTTTAAAGTTTTAAACTTTAAGTCCCTTGCGCCCCACGCAATCCGTCAAATGTATCTGACGCAACTGCGTTTTTCAGTAGTGGGGCAGGCCAAACAAGTCACGGATCGAACGTTCCACTCAATCTTGCAAAAAGGACGAATGTTGACAAATAGCCATGATTCGAACAGAGGTTCGGGTTGATTGAAGCAAAAACGCCACATGTTTGTCCAGTTTCCACGTGACAAATGGAATGTTGACATGCTGGTGAAGGAGGCTGGCTTGGGTGGCCGAATCAAATCAAACCCCGAGTCAAATTAAACCCCTGACAACTAAAACATATGTTCACTTATGCAACATTGAATACTGGGGCGCGGGGGCGGTGATCTAGCACGTGGTTTAGGGGATTGATTAATTGGTCCATCTACTGTAGGTCGGACTGAGAGCGGCAACATGCCTTCTAGCTTTATCTACAACATCTTCAAATTTCAGAGCTCAACTCAAAATATCTCAAAACTTCGAACGTAAAACCGTCTTTCAGTCTTTCAGCAGAAGATCATAGCCAATCCATGTGCCCTCTCGACAAGTGGTGGAACCCGACAATCTGCCAAGACTCCAAGTTTCGCCGGCAGAGCTGGCCATTCACAGGCCAAGAAGCGATCGGGGCAGGGTTCGTCGTGTCTGATCTGACCATCGATCACGTTCATCTGTGGTCATTATTTCCATCGAACTACCATATAAACCACATGGAAATGAAAGTTCGGATTCATCTTGATTTTGGCTTGAATAATTAATCATGAGTCACAAGTCAAGCATCATCATACGGTTACCACTTTACATCTTGTACGCTAATTACTGAATAACTCAAGATATATCTGTGTAAGTCTCCTATACCCCATTTCAGTGTTTCTTATCTTTTCTATGATACTACATGTACAAGGCTGAAATTGATGTCCAAAGACACCTGCACCCATGCATCATGAGTGCATTACAATGATTGAAAGCAGCATTGACTGTTTGATGGCCCATCTGCAAAAGCTCTCAACAAATGATCTGCTGTTGAAGGTATTTTAAAATGTTTAAAGGATTAGATTGGTTGGATGCAGCTTGTGGTACCAGCAAGATAGGAACAATTACCCAAAGCTTCCACCATGATTTTGCTTTGAAGGTGTTTAGAGTTCCAGATTCAACTTCCAACTCCGTCGTAAAAGTTGTACAGTATGCAAGTGGGTCGCAAGTGGGTCGCTGTCCTGCCTGTTCGCTGCTCGGACTGTAGAGGGACCGTTTTTGCAGAAAAAGCCTTGCTAGTCTGCAGCTTGGTGCCCTGCAACGGCTGCCTTCCCAGCAAGGACTCACACAACTGCAAGCAGCCATGACTCTTATGGTTTGTGGAATGGAGACTCGATCACAACGCAACCAAAAGGCTCCGCGCTGGCGAGACACTGTCCAGACAAGCCAATTTCCGCATGAGTTGAACCTGCCGCTCTGTAAGCAAAGATGGGCTAACCCAATACGGGCAACAGGTCCAAACGTCAAGAACCGTGGCGCATTCGCCACGCTGAATGCGCTTTTCCTGATTTTACTCATACGACCATGTGCCCAGCGAATCCCATACAGATTCGTTAAATCATGTTAATGTTAATCTAAATCTGGATGTTGCACACAAATCTGGTCATCGTTCTAGCTCTTAGGGCCTTAATCTCTTTTGAACGTCGTATACTTTGTGTGGGCGTTTCCAAATGAATTGGCCGCTCAGGGTAGTAAATACATTCTTGCAAATGGATTGTTGTTGCACCCTAATCACTTCCCGACAATGTCTGTCAGACTGTCAGGGAGGTGGTGCAGGGCGCAAATCCTGCGAGTGTGGAGCAAGCCATGCCAACCCAATGAGAGTCGATCTCAGTGGAAACTGCTCCCTGAAAACGAACACAGCGGACAAACTGTTCCCTGCTTGAAGCGCTGTCGCGCTAAGCCAAAAGAAAAACATCTGTGACAACAGCTCGCAGCCACAAGAAATGTGCTGTAAGATTTCTCCTGCTAATCAATGACACATTCCACTACAAGAGTATCCAGGATCCTGCCAGGGATACAGGAACACAATGTGGTTTCCAGCCCACCGAGACACAGGCATGACTTCAAGATCCAGATGCCGCACTTTGTGGGAAAGTGATGTGCAAGCGCACTGGTCAAAATAGGACATGTTCAAGCGCTGCAAATTCAGGTGCTGTCATGGTGCCGCTTTGCCACAAGTGCCGGGGAACAGGTCGTGGTTCGTGTGTGTGTGTGTGTGCGTGTCAAACTCCTGCAGCAGTTCTACTGCATCATGTTGATAAACGAGAGATAGTGCTGCTTGGACGTTTGGACACACCCACAGACCATCACAAACCTTGTCTTCCTATGTCTAAAGAAAAATGGCCTGTCCCTTCGGATGACTGGGACTCAGTCGGCCATGAGCAAGCTTGCGGGAGCGGGCAAACTATATAGTTGGGCTTGCTTTGAACTGAAAAAGAACACATGTGTGTCACATGTGTTAATCATAGATCCCCAAAGAAAGGTGATGGACCCACAGGCAAAAGCCAGGTATATCACATGTACGATCGCATACCCCGCAAGTCTGCATGTCAGCTGCCTGGCTGAATGTTGGCCTGTAGAACAATGACACACCTGACCCCAAGAGGATCTTGCCAGGATGACTCTAAGAAACAAGCGGGTTCCAACATGTTCAACCAGCAGCTTGACAAAAAAAAACATCGAACGCAGCTAAAGGCCATCGAGCAATCATTGACTGCACTAAGGCAATTGCAGGAATACAAGCAATGGTCGGGAACTTTCACCGACTACGCGATCAGTCCTGCGACCGATAAGGCACAGGCCCAGTCCTCCGATCATTAACAAAGAAGCTAGTAGAAACAAGTGCCTTACTAGTAGTAACAGGTGCCTTACTACTAGTAACAAGAAGCTATTAGGAACAAGTGCCTTACTAGTAGTAACAAGTGCCTTACTAGTAGTAACAAGAACGCATAAGTCCTCCGGAACAACTGAATCACAAGGGTTCGTCGATGTCAAGGGTTCGTCGACCCTCTGAATTCCTCAGGCAGTCACGAGGCAGTGAGCCATATAAATGACACACGATAGTAGACGTAGATAACAGGCAAAAACAACTAGATACTTTTTCACTTGTCACTTATCTTGATCATGTTGTTTTTCTCTTGAAGTACTTTGTTGTCAAAACGTCCCTGCCTTCGTTAGATGACTGAAATCCGGCGAAAAGCATGTTGGTGTTCTCGAACCTTGACACAGGGCCCCTTTATGCTCTCTCTTCTCTGGCAACTTGAGTTCTGATATCAAATCCAGGGCCATCACAGCATGGTGCACTTTCTTGCCAATCTCATTCTCGTTTTGCTGAACCTCATTTGTTGCATCTCGCATCAGGTAGAATTCGAGCAAAGAATCTGGGCCCTGGACGGTCAAAAACAATGTATCAAGAAGCCTTGGTCAACGAATGTCAACGAATGTCAACGAAAAACCATTGGAGAATCCATGAAACTTCCTGCACAGGAGGCCGGAGCCAAATATTAGATGGTTTCTCCGCTCAAAGTCTGAGTTGCCTATTGTTCTTCTGGTCCACGCTCATGTGCTGTTCTTTCGACACAAAATCAAAACGCCCAACCCCGCAAATATGAAAAGAGAACGAGAGCAGACTCAGCCAAGGAGCCGGGATGACGCCTCACCGGATGCACGATCTGCCTTTCCTGTAGTCATCAGGTTTTGCCACAAGAGTTGATGCGAGTGACATGCAGGTGGAATGCTCGCTTCCTGGCCCGCAAGCTGCAAGTGATGCGAACAAGTTCGACCATTCCTGAACACATGAGCAGGTTGCGCTTGCAAAGTCGCACGGAGAGAAAGCCATATTCGCTCATGGCAGGAAACGCAGAAACTTGGGCAAAACAGGAAACATCAGGAAACGCGTCACTTCATTGTCTCGTCTGCACTTGGGATTTGTCTTCTGCAACCGTCCTCAGTAGTCGTTTCTCTGAATCGCACAGAAACACGTCGCTAAAATTTTGACCATTTCGGTCACCTCATCTGGTTTCAAGCTCATAAGTGGCCTCACGTTGGCCACCGTTAATAATGTTAGATCCAAGTAGTCAAGTGGGACGGAATAATGAAAACTTTTCCCCAAAGTTATTCCAACATTGTGAATAAACCAAAAGGACGGAATGATAAGATGATTTTTCACCCAGGGTGTATTTTGATTTTCTATTTTTCCCCAGATAGCGAAGCCGGGAAGGCGCGCGAAATG